CGACCACCCCTCTCCGACCATGCTGATGCAGCGCCGCGAAGGTGCCCGCCGAACATTGCTTGGCTCGTATCCTTACGGGTCAATCGTCCCGCCGACCAGCCTCGTGAGAGAGGATTTCTGCAGCTTCCAGCAAGTTTCCATCACCACCGAATCTGCGACGGCGCTTGCTGTCGTAGAACCGCAAGCTCGCCAGCATGCCCAGCCTACCTTGTGCGTACCTCCGCCCCGCCACCGAGGCTGCCCCGTTGGCGTCCCGAGCCAGTCTTCAGAGTTGGTTGAGCTCCCCTGCTGACTTGAGCCGCCAGCATCGGTCGACCTGGACGAGTGCATTTCGCGGCTGTACAAAAAAGAACTCCTCGCCGAGCCCGTCATCGAGGCCATATGCGCCAAGACGAAAGAGCTGCTGATGCGAGAGAGCAACGTTGTCCACGTGCGAGCGCCAGTCACTGTCGTCGGCGATATTCACGGCCAGTTTTATGACTTGATCGAGATCTTCAAGATCGGAGGATGGTGCCCAGATACAAACTACCTTTTCCTAGGTTCGTCCCACGACGTCTTTGTTTGCTTACGAGAAACCCAACCACTGACACTGACGGGACAGGAGACTACGTCGACCGAGGCATGTTCAGCGTTGAAACCATCTCTCTCCTAGTTTGTCTGAAACTTCGATACCCCGATCGCGTTCACCTGATTCGAGGAAACCACGAATCCCGTGGCGTCACACAGTCCTATGGCTTTTATACAGAGTGCTCTAGAAAATACGGCAACGCCAACGTCTGGCACTACTTTACCGACATGTTTGACTTCCTGACCTTGAGTGTCGTCATCAACAATGACATTTTTTGCGTTCACGGAGGTACGTCTCGTGTTTCGTGGCCGCCCGCCCCCCGCCGCTCGCTCAGGACCGAAAGCTGACAAGACCAACCTCGCCCCCGCACCACAGGCCTTTCTCCCTCCATCCACTCCATAGACCAAATCGTCGTCATCGACCGCTTCCGCGAGATCCCCCACGAAGGCCCCATGGCCGACCTCGTCTGGTCCGACCCGGACCCCGACCGCGACGAGTTCTCCCTGTCGCCGCGCGGCGCCGGGCTACACCTTCGGCGCGCAGGTTGTCAAGAAAGTTCCTCGCCGTCAACAACATGAGCCACATCCTGCGCGCCCACCAGCTGTGCCAGGAGGGCTTCCAGGTGCTGTACGACGACAGGCTCAGCACCGTCTGGAGCGCGCCCAACTACTGCTACCGCTGCGGCAACATGGCGAGCGTGCTCGAGGTCAGCGACACGGGCGAGCGCTTCTTCAACGTCTTCGCCGCCGCGCCCGAGAATGACCAGGTCAAGGACATGCAGCAGAACGGGCCGGAGAAGCTGGCGGACGGCACGGGCTTGCCGGATTACTTTTTGTGATTGACAAAGGCGAGCCGACGTCGCGGGGGAGGGTGCGATGCAATGTGATGTCTACTCCGCTGCAGCATGCGGACTGGAGGATGTAAGGCTTTAGGGTTAGGATCATGACGAACAAAGACAGACATGTCCATTGGAGAGTCTGCCGGCGAGCAGTGCAATTTACATCACTGAGAAAGGCCTAGTCATGATGCATTTCATCGCATTGATTCGTAAGTGAGTAAAAGCAAGCGAAGGACTTTATCCGAAAGCAGGAGCATGACAAGAGCGCATGTTGGACAGGCTGTCATGGCCAAGTCATTTGCGTCTCATCGTCCTTGTCCCTCCTTAGTCCGTCGTCATCAGTTCGTCGTTTGCGTCCGGCCCTCTACCAGTCCTTGGCAATGTCGAAACTCCACTCGAAAGCCAGGTGAACCTTCTTGTCGTCGTCGACGAAGCTCGTGAAGGCGTAGTAGGTGCCACGCAGGAGCATGCCCGAGGGAGCGACCTCTTCGGGGACTATTAAGACATGTTTAGCAAAGGGGTCAGCCGTCGATGCTGGCTGATCAACTCACAAGTCTTGGTGTAGATGGGTGTCTTGTCTGTGTTGGGAGCGAAGCTGCCCTGGAAGGAAATGTCAGCGAGGTTGTCCCAGAACCGGCTCATACGCCAGTACGTACCAGCATCTCCGTGTCCTTGGAAACACGGATACCCTTGCGCTTGACAATCTGCACGTACTGCAGTCCGCTGAGAATCTCGTGCTGGACGCGGAACTTGGCCGTCATGAAGAACGTGGCGCTCTCCTTAATCTTGAAGGGTTAA